TTAAAAAAGGACAAACCAAGTCGTACTTTAAAAATTCATAACTTTAAAACTACAACAGCTAAAAATATAATTTTGGTGTTATAATTCTGTAAAAATTTAGCTCTATTCAACTATGCCATTGGTTTATTTTTACAAAATGTTTAAATTTTTGACCAAAGTATCTACATTATCATTCATCGTAAACAAACTTATTTGAATGATTCTATCATTGGATTTTGTAATCTGATTTAGTAATCTACTTTTTGTATGTTGTAGGTGATGAACTTTTTACAGATACTTATCCAATTGAAGTTACTGGAGGCTTGTATAGAATTAAAGGGAAGGTGAGTTCCCATTTTTAAAAATTTTTTTTAATGCGGATCAGTTTGTCATATTATTGTCAAATCGGGAGTAAAATTTGTGCTCTTTATATTGCCAACTATTCATATGAAGTCTTACTGTGCATTGCAAAAGTTCTTGGAAGGGATCTTGGAGGAGTAGAATAAGAGATGGAGGTATCGCTCACTTCAATTGAAGTTAAGGAGTTCTGCAATGTTTTATAGAAAAGCACCGCAACCTGAATAATACTGTAGTCTTTTAGTCTGTAGCAGTGATGAATCTGTAACAACGTTTGATATCATTTCTGTGAAATCCTTACGCAAAATCAAGTGTCATAGGTAATTGGATAGGTTCCTTGTTTAAGTCACTCAAAAAGAAAATATTACAGTGCATCAACAGTGCGAGATTACAGTGATTCCAATAGTGACTACTTCTGAATAGTTGGCAATGATTAAAATTTAGCAAAAGTGTTTTAGGCTGATTCTTAAATATTAGTTTCAATTGCATTGCCGTGTTTAGACATTTCTTTTGGCACATTGTATTTTAGGGGTGAAGAAAAAAACGGAACTGATTTTTTTTAATGTCCAATAAAAAAGATAGACTTTTTGTCGTAAACCAAAAAATGCCAGCCCTAAACGGTTCTGTTTAACAACAAAATATATTTCCTTTCAGTATGTAACTCGTTCAGACAAGGTTGATGATGCATTGCTTGGTGCAAACCCAAGTGCGGAGGAGCAAAGTGAAGGTACTGATGATACCGCCATCTCTGGCATTAACGTAATCCTTGACAACAGGCTCATGCCAACGGGATTTGGAACAAAGAAAGAATACATGGCTTACTTCAAAGATTTTGTGAAAAGGTAAATATGAAAGCTGTGTTTATGATCTATCTACTAGACTTGTGGTCGACATATTGCGGCTCTTTAGCGACTTGAGTGTGGCTCGGCCAGTTGGCCACTTCTCAGGTTCTTGAAAAGAAATTTGGCTCTCAACAAAATTTTTAATCGGCCTGCTGCTCATTTTTGGTTCTTTTGCAGACCACTGTACTAGACTAATAATTTAAAGGGCTTATTGTCAGAGCGTATTCTATTAAGCCTGATGCATTTCCTGTCATTTTTGTCTTTTATGGTATGTGTAAAAATTTCTTTTAAAATTTAGAATGGAGGAGTACAAAAGAAGCATTTGCCCTAATGTTGATATTGAAAAATGGCGGCTGGAGGTACAGGCTACATTCAAGCATGTAGCTGCCAACTTCAAGGATTATGAATTTTTTACAGGTAAAGTTAGCATTATTCAGTTACTCTTGCCAAGATTGTGCTTTATTTTTGAATTTAAAGAAATAAGTGAGTTATAACTTAGTGCCATTGTAACACATTATTTTATTAAAGGAGAATCCAGCAATCCTGATGGGAACATTGCCTTGGTCAAGTGGGAAGCTCCAGAGGGAGAGACAGATGAAGTGCCCTATGTCTATTTCTTTGTTGATGGTGTCAAGGAAGAGAAAGTTGTAAGTGAATTTTTAGACATGGAGATCACAGTAGTTAAAGTTGTGAAAGAATAATGGTCCTTAATTTTTAAAATTTTCTGATATTATTGATAAATAATTTTTTTTTTTTTTTTTACAAAAAGTGTGGCCTATCCACCTCCATCTTCTCCTTTTGATGTCTTCAGCAATAGGCTAATTAATGATATGTCTTCTGCAGATCAGGGTTTTTCTCGGGCAAAGGCCTTGTGAAAGAATAATGGTCCTTAATTTTTAAAATTTTCTGATATTATTGATAAATAATTTTTTTTTTTTTTTTTACAAAAAGTGTGGCCTATCCACCTCCATCTTCTCCTTGTGATGTCTTCAGCAATAGGCTAATTAATGATATGTCTTCTGCAGATCAGGGTATTTCTCGGGCAAAGGCCTGTGTTCTGTGTGATATTCACTGTTTCAGCCCCATAGCATTGGGACTGATTTAACATTTGTGTTGAAAATTCTAAATTTTGATTTTTTTGAGTCCCATATTTTCCAATTCTAGCCATAACATCTGCTTCTGATTTATGTTTTTGGTAGCACCCAAATAGGTGAAGGCCTCCAGTGCATGTCCTGCTAAGAAGTTGTGTTCTTAGTTTATCTTTGTTTTGCTTGTGTTGAGTGCCATAGCCACAATTTTGGCAATGCTGTACTTGCACTCATGTGTTATGAACATGTAACAATTTTTTCCCCTTTGCTGAATCTCGTCACTAAATGTCACCAAATGCTTTGTAACAAACATTTTAAAGACAAATTTTTCGTTTTATTTTTCGCTGAAAATAAATGTGTACAATGTCATTAAAGCACATTTCAGTTAATTTGGAATTAATTATTTTACCTTAGTTGGCTGGGTGATGTGATACAAAATGTTTTTGCTTTCATGGGTACATGAAGTTAATGGTTAAGCTACCTTGTAGCTGTTAGTAGCCGTTAGCTGAAAGAGTTTTTTGAGACATGGTCAATAAGTCCACCACACTAATAGCCTTATCTTTTTGCTAAAGATTATTGGCAGCAAGTGGTGGTACAGAATTCAGGACTAGCAAAGGACATGATACAGTAATGAGTTTCATGTGTATTTAATAACTAGCTACACTTTTTGTTTAACTTTGCTGTTATTTTAGATCACATCAACTTATAGTACCCGGTAGTGGTTGGGATAATTAGTTCTTTCAAACAATTAAGTGGAGTGGGATTCAGTAAGTGGAGTGGGATATTTAAAAATTTCAGTACTTGTACCGGTACTAATACCTTGCAGATGGAGGAGGAATCGAAATGTTTTTTTAAAAACTGAAATTCTTTGTAAATCTCTACCCGCAGTAGTGGTTCATTCTACTATGCAGTGCAATACACTGAAGATGGCATATAATTTTGCATAAGGTATTCACTTATGAAAAACCGGTTAATTACCAAGTCTTTCAAAAGCAATTTATTATAAAAGAATCTTTAAAATATATTATTAATATTCAGACTATTCTTTTTCATAGTTGGCTGAGATCCATTTTGTTTTTTATTTCAGTAAACAACGTATCGTTCTACATCTCTGACAGTTTCTTCCACCCACCAACCTATAGATGATGTAAAACTGATAGCACAGGCCACTATTATTTATTCAACCTCTGCAGTCTCTTATTTATTCAATTGTTTGGAGGCTCAATCTTACATGTTTGGACGAATTTACACAATTTCAATAACTTATATGTAAAAAAATAAAAGTGGAAACTAGTAAAGTCATTCAGATACGGTCATGGGCTATATTTTTAAAATCTGACATGTCATCTAAAATTGGTGAAAAGTTTGATATCAAGTTACAAGCTGTTCATTTTGAATTATAGGGACTATACTAAGGACTTCGACATATTTACCAGATGCTAAGTAATAATTTAAAGAACAATGTGCTGCTACTTATACATGTGACATTTTTATTAGGCCAAGCAATGGACCCAACAATGGCTGGGAATTGTACATTGTACAGACAACTATGTACAATTTTGTTTGTTAAATCAGAATGTTTGATGTATGTTTGTGAAAGTGAAAAGTAATATAAAAATAAATACATATAAGTCAGATTTTTATGTATTTTCTTGTTTCTTTTCTAGTTCTGGTGCTTATCAATTTTAAAAAAAATATTTTTTCTGAAATAAGTAGTTTTTTTTAAAACCATGGAGACTCTAGGGACCCAGCTGACAGCCTTTGCACCATGACACACAAGCACCCATTTGGTGTGGAAATGAATGCTGTCCCTTATGGCAAGGGTGGGTAACAATAAGTTACATGACAAAAGTCAAGGACTGTTCAAGTAAAGAAAATTAAATTGAAAAAAATGAATTTCAAATGATCATTTTAATTTTAACCGAACCCTGTACATGAAATTCTGTAAAATTTTTGTTAACTTAAAAACAAAGTAATTTTTTTTTATTTCTAAGTAATCTAAGCGCTTTCGAGGGCTGCATATCGGTTGCCTGGGCCGTAGTTTGCCCTCCCCCTGCTTTATGGCACCAAAATCTGGGCTTAAAAGTAATTTTAGTTTGAAGTGTAATGTGCTACATACACTACTTTGTCTATTGTACTTACCCATACTTTAAATCTAATAAATCTGTAAATCTAATACTTTGCAAAAAAGCTCATTTAAAATTATAAACCAAGACAACTGAGGAAATACTGGAGATACAAATTTCCTATTTTGGCGAGTACCCCCACCCCGCCTTTTTTCTAACTCTGATCAATGCTACTGGTAAAAAGACATTTTAACACAACTACTAACTACAATATAAAAAGTCCACAAAAGTTTTAAATTATAATAAATAAAAAAAATAAATTATTTATTGAGTAGACCCAAAGTTCTTAAAATCAAATTCTTATGTTGATATACAATTTTCAATTATTCTAGGAGGAAAAATGCATTATCAACTGTATAATTAATAAGAAAAATCATCTAGCTCTAAATCAGGGGTCGGGAACCTTTGAGAGAGCCATGGACAACACATATTTTGAAAAGTAATTCTGTGAGAGCCATACATTATGTTAAAAACTAAAAATTCAAGTAAATGTGTGCATTTTGTGTAATTTCAACACTAAAAATGCGATAATTATGTCTCTGAATTCTTTTTATTACCGGTAACATTGTTATGCTGTTGCTAATCAATGAGTATTTCTTACCATTAATGCAACTTTTTTTTTTTATAATCGAACATTTTTCTGTGAGCCAGATGCAGCCATCAATAGAGCCACAACTGGCTCGCGAGCCATAGGTTCCCGACCCCTGCTCTAGATGGATGATGTACCATATTGTTGTAGTGTGACTGTCTGAAACCATTGCTGTCAATTGTCATAATTCCAAACAAAACCACAATTTTATTAAGCCAAGGATTATTAATCCTAATTTGTAAATACTGTCAAAGTCAAAATACTTAATAAATGAACATATTTTTTAATCTTTTATACCGGTACTTCTTGTACGTTGTCTAAATCTAGAATACAGGTACCAGTACAACTTAGTGTAAGTAATGTTTCTTATAATTTCTATGTCAAGGTTAAGCTATTTCCAAGAATGAAAGTTAAGGTTTGCAAAAAAAAAAATGTAGTTCGACAAGGGACTTGGGGTAAAAATAGAATATAAATATACTCTAAGTCTAAGAAAGTATCACCCGATGTTATTGAGATCATAATGGCAGGCACATTGCGATAATTTCCACCTGGTATTCAGTGCTATTGTGAAAACTCGTCACATTGTGACTCACAATTCCTTATTTTAAAAAGAAGGTAGGTATCTATATAAGGATGTTAACCTTTCTAAAATAATTAAAAGAAGTATTTTTCTGCTTTACTATATATTATACACCTACCCTTTTCGCGTCCCTAAACTACATTTTTTCCCCCTTTAACATGACTATACATTACCAAATCTAAATGATCACTAATCAAATCATTGTCACTAAACTAGTTCATTGTCATTGACGGCTGATTTGTACGCTTGAGAAATACTCTTTTGATTGTCGTGTTTTTAAATTGTTAAATGTTAGGCCTAAACTACCTACCACCTTTCGTGCCACCTAAATTAATTTTTTTTACTCTAAAAATTGTGAAAACTTAATCTTTAATTTAAAAAAAAGCACTATATTCCATTTTAAATAAATATTTATACCGGGGTATTAATATTAACAAATTAGATATACTGATATCTTCATTAAAAATTTAACCAAACTTTTTGCCTTTGTTATCTACTATAGTATTGGAAAATCGTAAAACAAATAAATATTTTATCTAAAGAAGAATACCGGGGTATTAATATTAACAAATTAGATATACTGATATCTTCATTAAAAATTTAACCAAATTTTTGCCTTTGTTATCTACTATAGTATTGGAAAATCGTAAAACAAATAAATATTTTATCTAAAGAAGAATCTCTTAACAAAAATATATTTTCATATTTTGAAAAAAAATCTTAACCCATCTCCATTTTTCTAAATTAAGGTATCACTTGTGTAAAATGATTGGGTTTTGATATTCATGATCATGGGTACCGGTATAGTTATGTAAATTTACCCACGTTTTGTTAACGCCATTGATTTTCTTAATAATATGTTTATTTTTAAAAATTACCAGAGAATGTAACATCTCTTTTCCACAACTGTAATTGTAATAAGTAAAAAAGTACTGACCATATTTCCTTATTTTTCATAACTTTCAAACTCGGATAAAATGCTCAAAATAGTTCATTTATTGTTATTTTAAACGTATTTGTAATTTATAATAATAATAATACTTTAAAGTTAACCAAAATTAAAGCAGATAAATTTTATTTTTTGCGCATTTAAATTTATTAGATTTCCGTAAAATAATAGAAAAATTTTAAACACTGTTTTAAGAATCCGAACGTATTTAAATCCCTTCGTCTCTTTGGCGTTATGTTCAGCCTAGCTCATTCTTATATATGGTATATGGCTAGTTTAGCCCCCCCCACAGCAAATTAACAGACAGTCCTATTTATATTAAGATGTCTGCGATTGATTAAACTTAATAAATATGAACATTAATTATTAATAATTAAATCAGCGTAACTATATTTTAATTAAGACTACAGGTATATTACTATTTCAATGTTGTGACTTTTGATTTGCCAAAAAATATCTTGTGAAAATTTGGGTTTGATAGAAAAATTAAAACATTTCATTTGAATGTTATTTATAATATTTATATATTCTGATACATGTCAATGCCAGTACGGTACTGGGTAATTGTATAGTTTCAATGGCATAACCATTAGTTATGTTGAGGCCAAATAAAGTTTTCATTTAACTTTAACTAACTCTCTTCAACTTCAATACCGGTAGAAGCTACATTCAGAAAAAAAAACCTCATGTTCGCAGATAAATAATTAAAATTTAAAAAATGGAATCCATCCAATTTGAATTTATTTTTCAGGCACACTCTGCACTCAAAAATAATTTAGAATTTTAAATTTCTGCTTCCACTTCCACACATGGCAACCACAATCCTAATATTGCCACTGTCACTGTACTGAGATTCCCCTTCCTATGGTTTACCCCTGAGGTCGTGCCACCATTTCATGATCGTCTCTCGCCTGGCCCAAATCAGTTGATTGCCATATTTTGTATACAAACTGAGGGGGGGAATAAAAATTGAGAAATCTCCAATAAATTTGATGGTACAGCTCAACAAAAGGTGAATGGTAAGTGTTTTAAAAAAAAGCAAAAGGATGAGTTCAAAATTGTCTTAAATAGTACAGTACCCAGTATGCTCTTCTTTATTTGTGTTAATAATTGGAAATACAATTCACTGAGATGTAGATTTAAATAAAAACAATATATTTTTTGGTCAACCAACCTGATGATCAGGCAGTTGCTACTTTTGGCTCCTAGCCCTAGCTTCATTCCCATAATATTAGAATATTACAGAGAGACGACTCGATCAAACTGAACAAACATTCACTTACATGCCAAAAAGAACTCCCCCTAAATGTCCAGCATGGTCGAGGAACCTCCAGCCCATCACAAGTCCTAAAACATCGAATGCTACAATGGCCTTCAAACCCTGGAGAAAACAAATATTAAGTAGGTATGGGATAGTAACTAAGTTATTTAAGTACCAGTATACAATATAGAAATAAAAATCTACACAAATTGTGACAAATTCAACAAAGAAACATTAGTTTAGTTAAGGTGGCAACAGAACAATTAAAACTTTCTGTGAAGCTTGAACTGCTATTAAATGTATTTTTTCAGATAAATAATTGGTTGACATCATGACATCTGTTTTTTGGCATCTGATTAAAAAAAAGCCGGTAGCATAATATATTTACATAGAGTTCATTTGGAGGACTCGTGAATTTCAATAGAATAAAAAGACCCCCATGTCCTGAATTTCATTCGGTGAACCCAAGATAAATCCATTTGAATTTTATATCCAAACCTAACCAAAAGTTTATATACTGACTGGTACATTTATTATAAACTGGTAAAAATAAAGATATTTATATATTATAGTACGGTAAAGAAAGCCTTATAGTAAACTATACAAATGAACTTAATATAAAGGGGTTTAAATTTAAAGTGATTTCTTCTTATATACCGTAACAATAATATTAATTTATCTAAAATTTTTAAGAAACTAATACTAATAAGTAATGAAACTAACATTATTAATATTTTTACATGCCTTCCATTACTAAACTGGCTTAAACTTAAAGCAGCCATTTCCCAGTATTAAAAAAGGCACTTCATAATAAAATTTATAATAGTAACAGGTACCCATATAAGTATAAGCTCTTTGAATGACTTACTGAATCTGCTGAGAAAGAATGTGGAAAGATCTCACTAATGAAAGCCACACCTAGTTGTGCATTTGGATATGTCACACATACAGCGCCAATTAATCCCATGATTGCTCCTGACTAGGGAGAAAAAAAAAATCAGAATGTATAGGCTATATTTCAAAATAACCATAACATATGGCTGACATACTTCAGAATCACACAAGTAGTGCAAGCGTTGATTTCCATTCACCAATAAGCTTCAACAAAATATTACCTATAACAATTAGAAGTAGAACACGATTTTCAGTAGATCTACCAACAAAAATAAAAATAGCCAATCATAATTATATGGCATTTGCCCTAGGAGTGATTTTTGGAATCAGTGAACACCCATCCAGTTGACCAAAAAATTTTTCAAGGGAATAGGTGGTGTGGTTGGCTTGTAATCAGGTCATACGAGATATTTATAATTTTGAATAGGGAACTTGTTATTGTACATCGCAGAGTTTCTAGTTTGGTGTATGCTCTACAAGATTTGAAGCATTAAATGCCAGTATTAATAAAACAAAGATACTGGAAGTAGATGGCGACACTATTTGACCAGGTAATGAAAATCAGATAATAAAAAATCTAATACAATTATCATCGAATCCTAGACATGCTTTTGTATAGTATTGCTTCTGGCATTTTATTTTCTGATGTTGTCCAATGAGAAGGTTAATCAATTTTCAGGCTTTTCCTAGACCTAAATGTGGGGGCTGCGGGCGCATGGTGTCGGCATATGAATAAACAGTGTTTAATATTATAAATATATTTTTGTAATGCACATTGCCAGGGATTGTTAATGATTTTTGGTACGGTACTGGTAACAGCTGATAAGTTTTCAAACCATTGTTGTGGCTTTTTTAGTTGTTATTATGAGACTTACGGCACCAACAGACACAGCAGAGGGTCTCTTTAACAACTTGCTGCAAGCCATGCTAGCAAATGATGAAATAGTTCCTGAAATACGGAACAGAAAATTATATATAATTACTTTTTATAACTTTTGATATAAATTGTCTTTTCTGTCAGAATATAAATTTAAAAAAAAACCAACAACATATTTTTAACATGTCTTGAAAGTGCTGTGTACATTACATAAAACTTCTTATCTTTTAAGCTTTACATCAATAGCAGTTAAACAAACACTATTTATAAAATGGTAAATCTGCAAGTTTAACTTGTAAGTATTGTCAACACTTTATTCATTGAACTCCCTAGTTCTTGTAACAAATAACCAGAGTCATTATTAGCCTCATTTATTGCATTACATTTTATAATTTATATTATATACCAATTATCTATTTGTATATTACACTGCCAGCGGAATGACTTTTTGTTCTCCCATATTTCAAACTTTATTATAAATGGCTTTTAGAACTCAACATTATCAAGCTTGTTAAATAAAGCTTAAGCTCATCTGTTGCATGAAATATTTCCTGCACTTAGGCAGAATGCAGAAAACTGCTCAAATCCCAAAAATTTGAAGGTCGCGTTGAAAATAGCAACAGCAAGTACATATCACAAACAGATGAAATATTACCTGCACTTAGGTAGAATGCGGCAAACTGTTCAAACCCCAACAAGTTTACAGTCACTGTGGCAAATGACCACAGCACATACATATTTACAAACAGATGAAAGAAACTGATGTGACTGAAAGAGCTCAGCAACATGGATGGCAGTGGATGACCTGCAATAATATTAGAAAATAAATTAAATTCTATGTGAAAACAAACATTCAAATCCTGTTTGTGTTTGAATAATTAGTTCCTTAAATATTTTTAAATAACAAATTTGCATTATCAAATAAAACAAGCACAATTTTAAGAGCACTTTTTCTTCTTTCTTAAACTACTACATGTCACAAGTAAGTGAGAGTTGATTTGGGCCTATACTATTTGAAAAACCCTAAGAAGACCTGTTAATTTGAATAAGATGACTTACCAATGAAATAAAATGATGTGCACCATCATTAATTAAAGCATTTACCCTAATATGATTATAATTATTTTATAAGATTTATTGGTTGCAAACTTTTACACGCATAGAAATTTCACATTAAAAAAAAAATCAGAGTACCTACTAATAGATGTAGTAAAGTATCTAATCATGGTAGGCTGTATAGATCGGATGCGCCACAACAAAAAGACACTGAGATTGGCTGCCATAATACCTATAATCATCTTCTGACCACTGCTCAATTTTTCCCACATGGAATTAGCCTAAGAAAGAAACAATTTGTTTTCTTCTATAGACACTGTAAGCTTTGCATTCATCATATTAAAAAAATTAATTCTTAAATCTGTGTCATCAAAGCAAATATGAATGAATTTGCTTTGACTTTGATGACACAGTTTTAAGAATTTTCAATAAATAAAAGTACAGTATTGGTATTTTGAATTAATACCTAACTATTAATTGACGGGTTGCCTCAAGAACACGTTTTAAGATAAGACAGGGATAAATCTTCAACAAAAATAGACATATCTATAAAAACACATACAAATTGTCAAAAGTAGAGTGAATTTGTTGTACAGGGTAATAAATTGATTATTTCTATCAAATTAAAATTTTACAGCGATAACAAACAATAAGATGCATGTTAGGTGAAGTTTTAAAAAATTTTATTTTCTGTAGTAAGTAATAATTATTCTGGCACAAAAATTTACATGATCTCTAAACCCGAAAGCTTTTTGATGCTTCTTCTCAAACACAGATTCCTTCTTGCTACCATGTTGTAATTTCTGGAATAAGTGCCGCATCTTTTCATAGTTCCATATCATGCCACCAGCAAAACTAAAGCCACACACCTGGAATAAAGACAAATATTTGTGATCTTGAAATACTGCATTGTCAACAAAAAACTTTTAAATTCCTTAAGTTTTGACTTATATTAAAGTGAAAATTATCAGAATAGTCTACCACAATCTATGAAAATATCTTTTTTAAGCATCAGAGGTGATAATCAAATCCTCTCTTTCTAAAAAATCCCCCCCCCCCCCCCCCCCCCCCCCCTATTACTAAGTTCAATAGCTTCATCGTCTAGGGTTACAATTACTCAGCAAACCATTGATTCATAGATCAAACGTCTCTTTATTAAATATAATACAACTCATAAATAAAATCTAACAGTCAGCACTGCTATCATTCTACATCATAACAACATTAACCACTTCATTTCCCTTTAAACAAAATACGTCACAAAATACAAAGCATATAGCAACAGCTCCCCAAATACTCTCCGAACCAACATGCAATCACAAAACACTTAACACTCGCTTTTTTTTAACGCCCAAATTTTTCATGCTCCTGGAATTTAAAACAGTGTTTTATTTTCTTTAGAAAAAGCCAAAACATTAAAAGTGGGAGTGAATTGAACTTAATAAAAAAAAAACCATTGAGATAGTAGATATTATTTTACAAAACTAAAATAATTTTTTACACCAAGACTAAAATCTGACACGCTCTCTTGACTCTGAATCAAAGCTCTTCACTCTGAATCAAAGTGTTTTAGTATTGTGTGAATGCAAATAAGCGAAATGACATGGAGAAGACATGCTCTGATGATGTTAAGGCCAAACAACATACCCCTACTGTGAACAGAAAGGGCTTTAGCAAAGATGGTGTGTCTGGCTCAAGACTGGACCCTTTGATATCCTCCACTGCACTTCTAGTTTTAAAGCCTCTTTTAAAGAATAACTGGAATCTCGAAAATCTTGAATGCAGCGTCTGAACTTGTGTAAATGTAAACTTTTGAACTGGAGCACATCTGATCCTTTGGCTGAAAGGATTATGTATTCCATGTTTCAGGCTCCTGTGAAGCATTAAATAATTGATTTACAGCTATTTATGAAGATTCAATATCCCAAATGAAAGATTTTAATAAATCTTCCTAGATTTTTTTAGTACAAAATCACATTGCATTTCATAATCCCACACATCTTTTCAATAATTATTCAAACATCAAGCTTGTCATTAACATCTGATGTAGTCAGACAAATACAGATTGTTTGGTTGCAAACATAGCTCCTAAAAACTTTTAAATAGATCAGGGCTTAGCAACCTTTTTGAGAGTGAGGAGCCATTTAAAAAAATAAAACTATGTCCTGAGAAAATGTGAAATACAAGGTTGCTTGCTGCAAACAAGTTAGTGTTAGTGCAAATTGCCTTGCTGCAGTCTGGTCCCTAGGAATAATTTAATAAATTAGGTTCAACAGCACATGTTAAGTAACTACTGCACACTGCATAGGACAAGTGCTGGTACCAAAATGTGGTGTCAAAATCATAGTTGCTTTGACAGTTCTGAAATTAGATTACATATGCTACCGGTACTTATTATCTTATAAAATTTATCAACCTCACCTGCCAGAGCCAATTTCTACTATATTTCTATTACCAGTTTGCTACACAAATAAAATAAATTAATACCCCTAATCGGCACAATGCTCTTACATAACCCTATGATAATGATAGTAAGTTAAATATACTTCTTTGGGCTTCGCATAGGCATACAAAGTGGCAAAGGGACCACCCATAAGTGATGTCCACATAGGGGGGTGGGGGGACACACTTTTGACTCGATTTGGGGGAAAGGGGGGTATAAAAACTTTAAACATGTTAAAATGTTAATAATTTAGAAAATTGAAAAAAACTTTCTCTGAATTACAGTACAGCAATTTTTACCATTATTTATATTCATACACCAATTTTAGGCCAATTATTAAATTTTCACTCTGTGCATTTTGATGTCTGTGAATGTTTGATGGTTGTCAAGCTTTATTTGATTAATTGTTTTCATGTTTTAAACAACGATAACCGTAGTTATTTCCAAGTGAATCAGTACCCTGCAGAACTGGTACGCAGTTATATGAGGTACAAACATGGTCTCTGATAAAGTTACAGGATTTTATGGAGGAGGAGAGTGACATTTTGAAGTGTGGAGATAAGAGTCAAAGAATTAGAGGGTTATCCCAGTACCATAGCCATATGTGAAGTGGGATGGAACAAAAAATGGTTGACTGATGAAAATGATCTAGGGAAGGGGTCAATAACCCTTTTTTCAGCACTACACCCCTCTCAATTTCAATTCCTTAATTAATTTTTGAGAAAAAAAATGCACTTGTAGCCTACACATAATATGAAAAAAAAAAAAAATGAAACACAAAAAACATTTACTAGTGCTGCTAATAAAAATGCAAAGAAACTAGATTTTCTAAAAAAAATAGGCAGCAAAAACTAGCAATGACAGCAAATGCATTTTCTTGGTCTTCACCGAAATCCTAGCACCCCCCAGGTGAAGAAGCCTTATTCTAGGGAAATGTTTGACTTTCATGTAAAGTTCAATACAAATGAAATAACATGCACTGGTTATTAGCGTGCCTTTAATTAACCTCACTAAAAAATGAGATTCCATATCATGTTCAATCATATGGTTTGTAATGTTGGTTGATTTTGATTGATAGATAATCTTCCACTGATGAAATTGATTATTGTTACGATACTGAGTGATAGATCAGTCACAGTGACAAACAATAGTCTTGTTATTAGGTGCTTTGTGAAATTTTTGTTAATAAATTAATTTGATTTAAAACAATTAATTATTATTTATCCTTCCCATTTATATACTGGATTAACAATGAAATTAATTTATTATTCTCCCATGGATGCTATCAATGATAGGTAATGTGGTGACAAACATGACACAATGATGACAATTTACGTAGTCTAAAATGGTAACCTTTTAATTCAATGACATCGTTTTTGACCATTTACACATGCTCTACACTCACAATTTTGAATGTTATAATGGCGTAATTAACTAAATTTACATTGTTTTTTCCATAACTATTAGCCTACAGTTTTAAAAAAAAAATTTTGTCTGATCAGTAACCCTATTTTTTTTACCTTAAAATGTATTGTTGGCATGTGGGCAATGGCAGTATGTGTATGGGCTTTTTATTTTTGGCAGTTGTAAAATAGTTTTATACATAATTTAAAAATGAATGTGAAAATATGTCTGCATGGGGGAATAGAAAAGTGGAGATTGCCATTTTGACAATGAAATTTCATGACTCGATTTTGGGCTTTTCCAAGCGTTACAGAAGTGCCTACAACTAGAAATACTACTAAGACTAAGTCATAGATGAATAAGTGCAGTTCAGAAACTTATACTATTTCTGGTCGAATTACCTATTTTTGAGTGTAAAATTATGTGAATTTTTCATAAAAGTATTTAATAAAGTAAAATGCCATCTTTTAGTAAGAATACATTTTAACAAATTTTAGGATATATAAAAAAGGAAATTTTAATGGATCTTTTGTCTTTTATGGAGCCATTGTGGAAGATCACGGATAACTCTTCTGTCTTTAAAGATACATTATAAAAGTTGCCCAATTAGATGTATCTTCTTGTATTTATTTTATAACTTTGCTATCAAATATAACCAGAGTTATAGGGAACTCTCATACTTGACATACGTAGCCAGTTTACAAGCCACATCGCAATTGATACATTCCATTTTGTTCTTCACAGGGAGCGCCTTGCGAGAAATTCCATAGTTGTATTAACATTATTTATTCGCCTCACAAACCAATTGTTGCATCCTTTAAAATTTCCGTTGGATCAACAATTTGAATTATTGTTCCTTGGTCGTCCTGCCATTTTAAAACAAAATGATCCCACAACCAGCAGTACCGCAAGACGAGTCCGTCTTATTTATATAATCACTAGCCCTCACCCTCATTTTACTCAGCGCAAATCAGTAAACATAAGCTCATTGACATATGAAAAAGGGGAGGTGTGCTCAAATTAGAGCTGACCAATCAAGGACAACGTATTTGCAGCCATCAGTATGAGCTGACTATCATGACTCCACACTATCATTTTGATTTCACCCATTTCTGCAACGTCAAAAATATTTTTTTAAAAGTGGACACGTGATCACACAGCACAAATTCATGGGAAACCCCCCCTCCCAGCTCCACTCCAAGACAATGATGATGTGTGAGTCCACTACCTTAGTCGGTTTTCCCCTTCTAATCACCCCCCCCCTGGACTTCAAGGGACAACCCGTATATTCCGAGCCATCTGAGATGAAAAAAAAAGAAGGGGGGGGGGGGGGGGTTGGGGTGCTTGTGCGTAATGAAAAATCCAGTTTTTCATTCTTTTTTTGTTAACATGCCTACAGTTTGAAAAGTTCGTTTAGCATACTAACTTACAGGTGATTAAAAATCTGGCCAGAGGTTGTAAAAAGAACAAAAACAAATAGGAAGGGCTATGTAACTTTGGTTGGGGGATATTTAAAGACGCCTTAGAAATCAAATAAAAAGAAAAAAAGCGCTGTATAATTCAGTATTAGTTAACTAAAACTTTCTGTATTTAATTTATAAAGAATACACGTAAGTTTACATGGGAAAATACAAAATGCGTTAAGAAATAATCTACGCAAATGGACTGCATACCATGAATCAATGATTGAGTTGATAAGTTACTGATAACTCATCAGTGCAGCAATTTAAAATTTTAACTGATATTGATTTGTGAATAATACTGATAGTAATTTAAACAATAGGCAATAGTGACCAATTCTTTTTATCAGTATCAGTTAGTAGTAATAATAATTATACTTACACTAAATTTAATTTAATTAATTAACTTTAAATACTTTAATAATACTCATTACTTGGCACTTAACTTAGATTCTTTCATTTTAATTATTCTAAGAAATAAAATTTTTTAGTAATTATTAATTCAGAGAAAGCGGCCTGCGTCTATTTCCATGCGCGCACTTTTACGTCTTAAATAGATCCCTATGCCTAACCTGAAACCTAAATCGATCCCTATGCCTAACCCTAATAAATCTATCCCTATGCCGCATGCCTAACCGTAACCCGAACCCTAAATCTATCCCTAAGCCTATGCCTAAGCCTAACCTGAACCCTAAATTAAATCGATCCCTATGCCAATGCCTAACCTTAACAAAGTCGACGTGGGCCGCTAAATCTGAAACAGCCATTAATTCTTAATAAATAGATTACTACTAAATTTTACTCGACATGAAAAATATTAATTCATTAATTTTTACCCCAAGGTTTGCAGCGGCCTTTTTAGCAATTGACTGTATTGACGACAACTAACATAACAGGGCAGCGCCATTTTATCTTATAAAAAGTAGGAGTTCGGAAATAATTTCATCACTTTCAACATCCACCCCACCACTTTTTCATTTTGCTTGAGTCCGCGACAAATAAAAGGCACATTTTAATTTTAATAATTTTCATAATGGATGATGTTTAAGAGCTAATATCCTGTTCATCCATTTGTAAGAATGTTATAAATGCTAAAATCCACAAAATTTTAATTTTAGGGGTAAAAAAAGCGTCACTTTTTAATTTTAAATTGTAATGTTTCCTTGTATTTACATTTAATTGCTTACACTTACACTTTATCTTTAGAATTATACTTTTTTGCACCAAATCCACAGAAAGAAGTAAACACTATTGCATTTAAAGCAGTGCCAAATTTTACAAATTTCACCTGACAAATATTAATAACTTGTATTAATGCAAGTATTTTATATTAATACGACGAAATTAATTTAGCTATGAAAAACAAAATATAATTTATGGGAAGCAACTGGTAGAATTAAAATATTCATTTATTGTTTTTCCTTGATTGATGTTGTATTTAAGGCTAGGGGACCCAAGCTGCTTGGCAAGCACACCCTTTGCGTTTTAGTCAATGCATAATTAAATTTAATTTAAATTCATGAAATTCTTGTTTTTGATTTACTGACGACGACATTAGTCGAAACATCTGAATTTTTATTTTGATGTTTAATTAATGCACGATACGAAAAATTACATTTAGAGGGCGTCCATTAATTACGTCAGCAATTTTTGACCCTTTCCCTCCCC